CGTTCAGAATGCAATAAAAAACAAATTTTTAAGTTTCAATTGAAGGTTATTTGGTCTGACAAGACTAAATTAATCGCTTTCATTCAGATGTCCGGGCATGGTAATGAATCAAAGACCCAAATTAAGCCCATGCGCAACATGTAAGGCAAACTGTAAATCACAGTGGTCGGTCAATAATAGTTTGGGGTTGTATTTAAAAAATTTTGTTGGTCCGTTAGTACGCATTATACGTAAGGAAAAGTATTTGTTCGTATTTCAACAAAATTTGCAAGATGTAAACGAAAAAATTAGAGTTTCTACTGAAAAATCACTCCAAACACACTGCACATTTATGCAAAGCCTGTATACAAAAGCAAAAATTTGCTAATTTGAAATAACCTCCACAATCCGCGGACATGAATCTCATCGAGAATTCGCTAAAACAACTAAAAGTACAGCTTAATAAATATCAAAGTCCGTAAAATCCAGTACATGAGCTGTGAAAGCAAACTAAGGATATATGGGAGGATATACCTCCAGAATTTTTACAGAGATACAAATAAGGTATGCCAAATCGCATCCAGGAACTAAAACAAGCAAAAGAGTACTGAACATTGTGTAAATAATTCTTTTTTTTTGGTGAAAATTGCTAAAAAGTTCTTAAAAATATATGAGTGGAAAACTGTAACATTTGCCTTAAGTTACATTTTTGTCTGCTGGTTTTATTATTGTTGTTGGATTGACTTAAAATCATTATGCGAGAGGAAGTACAGGTGTACCAATAAGAATATACAACAAAAGTATGAAAGTCGTTAGAACTTGGAAAGATAGCGAAGTAAAAAGTGTTACACCATGTTACTGTTTTGCTCGTCACTGTATGTATATAAAATAAAATAAAAAATAATAATAAAGATAAAAAATAAAATAAGAAAGAAAGAAGAAAGAAGATCCGTTTCACAGGATTTGAACCCACGACCAAAAAGTCGTACGCGCGTCCGTTAGGCTAGTACCTCTATTCATCATTCATCATCCATCAATTCATTGTCTATTGTATTACAAATAAAATCAAGAAAAATTTACACAAAAATTAAGAAGAAATCTCTGTGGAATTTTCTTCGTTTTTTCGTCTGTTTTACCCCTTAGCCCAGTAGCTTTTCATAAAGACAATCTTCTTCTTGTTTTTATGCATCATATTTTTGTCTGTGTAGTGTGATTGAGCACATCAGCCAACAGCAACGATAGTGACTGTTTAACCAGAGTAGCAACATCAACAGCAAAACCCAGGTCAAAAACCACATTCATTGAAGTGGGCAGTGGCATCAGTTTTTTGCTCCGTGCATAGTTTGGCTGCTATCCGTCCCTGATGCGGTATTCAGTTAGTCAGTCGCCAAAATTCAATGAATGGCTAACGTAAAAGAGAAACGCGCCCGCCAAGCATCGGATGAGTTTTTTGTTTTGTGAAAACGCGCCGCTCAAGGTGCGCCGGTATGTTCAGGTGAAGGAGCAAAATACTACATTATTCGTAAAAAAACATATCTCACAACAAAGTTTTTACCGCAAATAGTGAAATGAAAAAAAAAATTGAAAAAATATTAAAAATAAAAAGTCTATATGGTATATATGTATGTATGTACATATGCATATATGTACATATGTATGTAATAAACAAGCACATGAAAGTGAAAACGAATAGTTTTGACAAATGTGACAAGTGCATTTGGATTGGAATTTGAAAGTGATTTGTGCAAAAAAAAAAGAAATAATAACACAAAATATTAATTCTATGAAATTAAAAATAAATAAGAAATTTAATTGATATAATCTGTCTGCTGGTCAATTTGAATCCGCACAAGCGTTTTTAACCTACAGCAATGTAGCTTTAGTAATTCAAATAATTTTGAAGTATGTACTAAATATGTTTTCTTTTTTGATTTCTTCGATCTTTCGCGTTCAATTTCGCTTCATTACATTACTTTTATTTTTTCCTCACAAAAATTCCATCTCACTTGAATTATTATTTCTATGTACCTACATTAATATATGATTCATAACAATGTATGTATATTAGGGTGGTCCGTAAGTCTAGGAAGAAAATTTTTACCGGAGATTTCCTAAGGCTCAACCCCTACGTCGATGCTACTATAGTCGAAGATATCACATACAAATTTTGGTCGCGATTAGAGACGGTTAAGGCGTGTCGCACAGGGGGCAAAGTTCAGATTACCCTATGAAGACGTCTTAACCGACTCCAATCGGGACCAAAATCTTTGTGTGACATCTTCGACGAAGGTTTTATTGATTTTGGGTATTATTTAGATTAAAAAAAAAATAAATAAATATGTTAAGTTTGTGGTTCTCTATAGAGGAATCTGTACTTTGCCCCCTGTGACACACGCCTTAGCCGTCTATAATGGGGACCAAAGTTTACGTGTGATATTTGTGACCGTGGCATCACCGATTGAGAGGGTGAGAATGAAAAAAAATCGTTCATTTGATTTTTAAGGACCACCCGAATGTACATATGCATTAAGTATTTGCAATTATGTAAATTTTTCTCAAGTATGCATGCTATCTACTCATTCATTTCACTTCAGACAACATCAATTGTGAACCACGCAAATCTAGTGCACGCATGCGCACAAGCGCAACACTCTCACCTTAAAGAGTTATCGCTGCAAAACAACTTGTAGAAAAGAACAGTGAGTGCACTGCGGCTGATTTAAGTGTAAATTTTAGGCGAAGAAATATTATCTTCAAAACAATGACGGATTTCGTAACCAAATTAAAGCAATATCCAGAGCTCATACAGATATGGTAAAATTTGTATAGCCATGAAGCCGCTTCAAGTATCCTTTCCAAATCAAATTGGTTAATTCAAAGAAAAAAAATATACATTTACGTAAAATCATGACAATCTTGACAATACTCGCTTTGAAAATCCGCTGAATATGTTTCGAGATGAGCTAAACCGCATAATGGATTGCGCTCAGTGGCTCATAAACACCGTCCCAAGCCAAGCGTCTATTAAATCACTCAAATCTAACGTAACAACAACGTCCTAAGTAGCCACATAATGCATAAGGATTCTGTTGAAACTGTTGGCATAAAAGTGCTCATTGACTGTTGTATGCAGACAGGGGGGGCATTCCTTGCAACTGCATAGCCGACGAGTTGGCAAAGAGAGTGGCCAAAATATTCGATCACCGGATCGTGAATACCCCTATAGCAAAGTAGCTTACTCTGTTGCAAAAGAATATCTACTAAAAATGCTGTCGCAAAGTGTACGTAGGCTTATGTATATGTACAGCGGGCTGTTATGGGTTATTATTTCGTATGTTTTTTTTTTGTTTTAGTTTTTAGGTCTTCCCTGAACCCTCTTAAAATTGCTTTTGAGAAACAAAATTTCAATTTTCTAAAATCGTAAATGGTATTCGCAACACACAGTATTCGTCAACGTTAAAAACCGTTTTTTTTTCCCAGCCCACCTTCTTCTTTTCACATAACGACTGTGAGTTTATTAGCCATATTTTAAGTTGAATTCAAAAAGAAAATAAGGTAAAAAACGTGCACACTGGCGCAAACAGGGGCAGCAGCCGCGATGCTGGCAGAAACCAGTCAAGCGAGCATTGAAGCAAAGCATCCACAGCCACTAGTAAATGTATATTTACTAAATATATGTATGTATGTATATACTTGCGCACATATAAACTTTATGGAAAAAAGCATGTGGGTACATACATACACATGTACATATGCAGCGCCTTAAAAAGCGTATAAAAACAAAAAAAAACTATAACAGAGGCATATCAAAGCAATGACAACAAAAGTAACTCGCAATCAGAGTAAAGTGAAATTTATTTTTATTTTATTTATGGTTTGTCCCGCATTTTAAATCGAAATGAAATGCTGCTGGTGAGAGGATCTGCGCCGTCATCAAAGGTGAATATATGTAGCAGAAAGCGCTGTCTCAAATTGCAGCGCATAAAGAAAATAATGAAAGCAAAAAGGTAAACAACGTAGACAATGAGTGCATTGTTAGCGAATTCAAAAATGAAAATAAAAAATACAAATTTAAATAAATAACTTATTATAGCAAAAACGGCTTCGCAGCATTTTTGTTTTGAGTGCTGCGCATGCGCACTACTGGCGCGCGCACGCATTTACATTTCAGCTGTTGCCGCTGTTGTAGTTAATCTTGGCGCTCCCGAAAGTATGTCAGATGTCAAAGCGATTCCACCAAAACAATTTCCACTCCACCAGAAATGTACGCACACTTAAATGCGGTCAACAACTCCAAGCGGGATGCCATTGGCCGCTCGTTGCGCTGGTGCTACAATTGCTAGCAGTCAAAATTACCATTTTTGTGGAAAAGTTGAGGAGTAGTGGAGTAGAGAAAAAGTTTAGAATGAAAGAGCTTTGCAGGCAGCAGTTTTTTTTTTTTTTTTTTGGACTGACTTCTACTGCGCAAACGCTGGCCATTACTCTGGTAGACCGACAATCGAGACTTAAAATTTTTCGCTAAGTTTCGAGTAGCCTCATTTAAATTTTTTAACCATGTTGAAGCGTTCAATAGCCTTCTGCTTGTGCTCTGCGTTACAGTAAAGTGAAAAGCCTGCATGGCATCGGCGACGGTAGCTGCGAGTTTCTTCAACTGCCGGCGATTTTTGGTTAAATCGTTGCGCGACCGGATCGGCCCACAATCAATAAATCGCAAGCAATTTGCTACAAGTTTTGGTTTCAAGTATACACACTCTTACACAAAGTTGCTATTGCGCGGGAAAAGCGTGCATCGTGCGTGGTTGACAAGCGTGTTTCCAGTTGGGAGTTGATGTTGTCTTCGATAAAACGTCCACGCTAAAAGAGAGAGTGTGAAATTTGTTTGTGAAATGTATGCAAATATTGGAAAATTTCATTAATCCATAACTTTTGGCGGTTATCATAATATTCATCTAGCAATTTTATTTGATTTTCCATTTCTGATTGTTTATCTGTTTTCTTGAATTATTTTGTTTTGTTTTTAGCGATGGCAACGCGTACCCGAAAACATCAACACACACACAACTGGATTGCGTTTCTATTCACTTGGACCTGTTGTGTCGCACTTGTGGCGGGCCAGGGTTTACGTTTGCCCGATCAACAACCCCAACAACAGCAACAACAGCCGCAACCACAACAAAATGTGCAGCAGATTTTTGTGCCACAGCAACAGCCACAACCACAACAACAACAACAGCAATTTCAACAACAACAATCACCTGCTGTGAGCTATGGGCAGGAGCGTGGGTTGGGCTCCGCTTTCTTAAGCCTAATCGGTCTGCAGCATGACAACGACCCCTATTTAGCGCGCACCAATCAAAATTGTGTGAGCGGCGATTTGTCCGAGTGCTTTAAGACGCAGGCGCTAAGCAGCTTCGATGAGATATTCTATCGTGATCAATATGCGTAAGTGAAATACGTATTTTTTTTTTTAACAATTTCGTTATTTTTGAAGATACTAACTACTAATTTTTTAATTCCTTTTTCTTATCATAGTTTGTCTGATTTTGCGCGTGTCATCCGTTTACCCGAAACGCAACAACGTTCGCTCTTGCAAGAGCCATTCGAGTATTCACAGGAGCCGCTCAACGAGGACACCGATTGGGATCAATTGATAAAATATGCGTTGAGGCGCGCTGAACGGTGAGTTTCGCAAAACAATAAGAAGAAGATATAGAAGATATACAAAATACTATTAAGTTCTTCTAAAGGGAATACCTCCAGCTCATAGGTATGGTGGAATAATTACCAAAGCCATATATTCACTACTAGCATAGTTTACGAAATCAAACACATAGTCACCAATATCCCCTGTATTGGTTTTAAAAGAAAACTCTATTAAATTTAAACAACATTACTAAGTTAATTCTGCTATTTTATTCTATGCCTAACCAGTTCTCTCTTTTCCCCCCTCTCTCCCTGCGTAGCTTTGTCAAGTCTACAGCTTTGGAAATCGATGTACCTGAGGAGCTCACCGAGGCGGGACGTTATTCGGCGCGTTTCATAGGAAATGACATTGATAGCGAATTGGATGTCATTGAGGACAAGCATGCGCCCGTCTTCAGTAAGTCGCGCTCCAAATCATGTAAATAATTTTTCAAATTCATTTCATATTACCCAGGGGGGAATTTAAATTAATCTATTGCGTTTGTTCATTTCCATTTCCAAATGCAGCGCGCAAGAAGTTGAAGAAAATGATCATTCCACTGCTGTTGGTATTGAAAATATTCAAGCTGAAATTGTTGCTCTTCCTGCCCTTCATCCTCGGCATTGTTGGTCTTAAGAAAATACTCGGCTTGGCTGCCATCATACTGCCTGGCTTATTCGCTTATTTCAAACTGTGTCGCCCACAAGGCGGTCCCACCTTTGGCGGTGGTGGTGCCTTCTCTGGCCTCTTTGGCAGCAAGAACACAGTACCCGAATACTCGCCGCAAGGTGTGGGCTCAGCCACCTACTACCATCATCACGACCACTACGATGGTGGCAATGGACAATTTTATCGTCAGGATCCCGCCTTCTCTAAGCCATACACAGATTATTATAGCAAAAACCAAGCTGGTGCCAGCAACTCTGTGAGCTTTGGTGACGCCCATGAAGCTGCTTATTCTGGTTATTATGGCCGCAACACTGGCAAGGATATACAGAGTGAGCAGAAGAGTTAAGCCGCAAGGCTGCGCGGGAGAGCACTTCATTTTCCATACTGCCATTTTTAACACCTGCACGACTTTGCGAAGTGTACGCGTGTGTTTTTTGTTTTTGTTTTGTTGTTATATTAAACTTGACATTGATCTTGTTGTACGCTTGTGCTCGTTTTCATCGACAGTTAGATTTGTTAATAAGTTTCTTTGTTGCTCAATCTTTAAATTTGGAAAATATTGAGCGCGCATCTAATGTCCTAGCTAAATTATTTATTATATACTCATATGTTTTTATGTAATTTTATAAATAAATTATAAGCGATTTTTAAAAATGGTTTGACGTTTTACTATTTTTATTGATTTTGGGAAACGACCGCTGAAACAATTAGGGCCATTTTCTAAAGTAGCTTTTAAAATGCACCTTTCCTTCATACACTTTTTTGGGAACAAAATCTGTCTTCGAAACAGATAGAGTTTAAAAGGACTTAAAAATATACTTATATAGATATACATTAGGGTGATCCAATTAAACTAACCTAATTCATGGCTTTACAAGAATCTACTGAGAAGAAAATTCTCTTATTTGGAAATATTTTTATTCCAATTTTAAAAAGTGTCGGTGGGCATTTGAAAATTTTCATGTAAATAACATGAACATTTTTTTTTTTCATTAAAAATGTAATAACTGTTAAGCCGTTTGAGGTAAACCATTTTTCTAGACATATTCTTGTAGGGCATTAAATCCTTAAAGATTTTTTTTTTCTCAAACGGTTTTGACATTTTTAATGAAAACAATTGTTTCATATTATTTAAATGGAAAATTTCAAATGCGCACCGATACCCCTGAAAATTGGAATTAAATTTTTTCAAATGTGACAATTTTCTTTTCAGTAAATAGGTCCTTTTAAGGCCATAAATTCGTAAGGTTAGTTCATTTGGATCACCCTATTACACATATATGTAAGTAAATGTATACATTTACTGCAAGTTAACATTCGCCTACTTTCAAATGAAAAAAGCTAAGGTGTTAACTACAATCAGGTACTTTTTCGATTCGCCTTGCGGTAATGGGTAATGCATTACTCTTGTTAACAGACTAAAAGGAGACGATAGCAGTTTCTCAACGACCTCACCGGTTGCACAGACCCAACAGAAACTGAAAAAATAAAGCGCTCAATGTCCTCTAATTGTGCAGGAGTACAATTAGAAATGACTCGAATTTAGATAATACATTCGGTGTATTCTCACACCTGGCAACAAATTCTATCTAGGCAACCTTTTAAAGTGTTCAACACTTGCGACAGACCGCGCACGGTGTTTTATTTCGGGGAAAAAGAGACAAAATGAAATATATCTAGAAGGCGAGGAGAACGCGAAACAAGTGCAACGGTATTTTAAAGCTTTTGAGATTTTGAATTCAGGATAATACATATACAAAAGGTTTATATTTTTTTCTTTTTTTGGGCCCGAAACCAGTCTGCAATGTCTCTGAAACTGACAACTAAAACTCTGAATTTTCAGAAATTTACAGACCTACAACCAAAAATGCAGAATCTGTAAACATAAAAGAATAGAAAGCAGACAAATGGCCACATCCGTGCGAGTCCATTCAATTAGTTTATTGACTTCTACCACACAGATCTCGAAGGAAGATTTACCAGTCATTGAAATATTCTTAAGGGAGTCATGGCGCTCTTCAAGCACGAATCGTCTGAAGTTGACAAAGAAGCTGCAAGATTCATCAAAATTGTTGAGTTTTATTAGTCATTCCTTATTGCAGAACTTCCAGAAGTACTCGCTCGACAGAATTAGGCCTTTAAAACCATTAGACGCGTGAAAATTACACAAACATTAACATGTTTCTGAAGATTTTACCCACGTTAACTGAGTCTACTTCTACTGCAGAACGAACCCTTTATAGCTTGAAATGGATGAAGACTATTCAAAGAAACCAAATCAAAGAAGTAATTTTCTGTTTCTTAACTACATAAATCTAAACTCAAAATATTGATATCTATCTCTTTTCTTTTTAATGATAATTTAAATGGATTCACTGCTTTATCTGCATCCTGACATTAGACACAGCTAACGAAGTTTTCCATGAGATATCTAAAAAACCGCCAATACTCTATTTTCTTTTGTAACAGATCTTTAGACATTTCGTGTCTGAATGAATGTGACTGGCGGGACAATGAAAAGAACTCTATTTTACCCTTGTGCTCTCAAAGACGAAGTTTAGCCAAAACATTTAATCTTCACGAACGATATTCTTGTGTTGTAAAATATGAACTATACGCTTTCGTTTTCAATGAAAATTAGGTTTATATAATCTTTATAGAAATATTATAATATTTAAAGTTGTGACTGGTGGGACATTTCCTTGCGACTGGTGTAAACTTTCTATAGACAAAAATTACAACTAATTTTGATTTTTTAATATTTTCCAACAGATTATTGAAATGTAGTCATTTAAAAAGAGGCATCTACAGAAATAGAGATAATTAGAGCATATTTAAATTTATGTCGTTTTCCTCTTTTCCAATGGAATGACCCATAAGTGAAAGTTTCTGAAGAAAATGGAAATAAATTCCACATGTGTGAGCATTTATTAATTAACTTAAAGATTTAATTGTTTAAAATAGTATTTGTAAAATACTTTTCATTCAATCGCTACATGTACACAAAGCAATACAGATTCAAAGACATCAATATCCAAAACAGATTAATGTGCAACGGCCAGGCTGTAATTGTAAGATATCTATAAACTATTTCGAGCACGCTCCCGTACCTACATACATACATACATAAATATATGTATGCATATTTGGAGATAACGAGTACAATACATTTAGGGGGTTCCCTTAAACTTGTAAAGTCTTAAACTGTGTAAAACTCGTAAGTTTACGAGGCTTTTATGGGTACGCCCCCTGTTTGGAAAGGTGCGTAAAGTGACTGTTTTATAGATCAACCAGGAGTTTGTGAAGCAATTTTTGTTTCGTAGTATTTTCCATAATATCCCGCCATCTTAATTCTATCGCTCTTGGCTAAAACACAATTAAAAATGTCGAAAATTAGCATAAATTCTAAGACAACAGGTACTGTTAGTGGATGAAATTCATTCATTTTATTCGCTTATTAATTTTACATTTTGGTTATAAAAACCACTGAAGTTTACGAGGTCGTTTGCCCATCAAATTTGCTTCGAAATTTGACGAGGGGCTCGTAAATAGGGCTCCATACAAATTTTGACAGTTATTTTACGAGGCTCATAAATTTACAAGCTTTACGAGGCTTTCACAAGTTTAAGGGAAGACCCCCATTATGCCTTCGAATTGTCAGCAGCAATCAATTTCAATAATCCATAGACGCTAGTTAATGCGGCTATGACTATGCATCGCGTGAAAACTTAATGCCACAACGCGTTGAATGCTTGCCATTGTAGGCACTTATCTCCATACAACACACATACACCTACACTCATGCATGCTCAGAAATACATACATACATATAACGATGCAAGCATGAGTTGCATGCTCCTAATAGCAGCCACTTATCGAAGTCCGACTGCCGCTACCATGGTCATGGTCACACATTGTTGCTATTATTGTAACCGAACAACATTTCTCAAAAGAAAGCTGCTTGCAGAAATTGCTGGTGTTTATCGCTGACAGCAGCAGACTTGCAAGGTGGCGCGTGGTCTATACATACATATAGTCTGGTTACAAAGCCTGGTTTACTCGATGGATGGATGGTTGAATCGCGTGGCTGGGTGTATAGCAGTGCTGCCATTTTTACACTTTTCTTACTAAAATTGATTGACTTTTCCTCTTGGTATATTTGTAGTTCAAAGAAAGTAGTAGTAGAAGTTGCTTTTTGCGTTTTTTAAGATTTTGAGGCTAAACAACTTTTGGAGAACCTCTGTGACCTGCCCGTACTTTCATTACATTTTCATGTCGTTTGTTGGATATTTTTCTAGGAAAAATTTATTTTTCATGGCAACACTGCTCACTAGTTGTTAGCGAAATACAGTGAAACTGCAATATTGCAACATTAGCTGCTTGCCATCAGCATTCCATACTTGGCATTGCGTTGCATGAATGTGCAACTAACGCTGCTCTACTCACTAAAAAATGTAGCTGCGCGCAGCTGCATAACTTGTCAGCCAGTCAATATGTCAGTCTGTCAGTGAGTTGGTCAGTTGTGCGCTTGTCAAATGTGCAAATGGTTATTGCTACTCAATTTCTTCTTTCTTCGGTTTTTTACTGTGTGTATGTATTTTTTTATTTTTTTTTATATCAATTGCAATTTAATCTTACTTAAAATACTAGCAACGCCTTCCATACATCACCGCAAATGTGCAGTGAGTGGCTTTTGCTCGTCTCGCTCATCCCATGGTGCTGAAAGCATTTGTATCTATATATGTAAATATGTATGTATGTAAATGTGGCTCTGCGTGTTATTGTGCGATTGTTAATTCCTTTCAATTTTTATTCAATACATAAACTCTTTACCTCCGCTTTCATTGACGCTTTAGTTTGTTGTGGTAATAGCTGCTAAAATTATAAAAGTTGTTGTTATTGTAAAATTGTTGCTATCCGCTTGATGGACACTTTCATGTATCTAACTTTGGTAGTTAGCCCAGTTTTCATTCGAAGATTCTTTAACTCTTCTGGCATCATACGAAGCGTAATTCAAGTTGCAACGTACATATATATGTATGTATGTATGTAAGTCTGTGAAAACGTACAGGAAGCCGGGATTGCTCATACAATTTTGTATTTAGAGCCAACCGAGTACACAAACGAGCGATTTGTAAAAAAGCTACGATGGAATTTTATTTTGTGCAAAGATTTTTCTCGTCATTTACTTCGAAGGCTTTATTAAATCTATAAACTATGCGAATGCTTTGCAAGTTTTTTTTTCGGTTTTCCGCAATTTACTAGTAATTTTGAGGGTGTAGAAGTCAAACCGACCTCAGAATCGGATTCAGCGGGTCGAAATACATGTCGGTAGGTGGGTATGGTTAAAAACAAGCAATTATTATGATCTTTTTGTTTACCTGAAAACCTTACACTAAGTATAAAAACTAGCAAAACTAAATGTATTTAATGCTGTGAAACACATTTTTCTCGATTAAAAGAAATGGTAGTGAGGAAGCCATCTTGGTAGGTTTATGAACCAGTTCTTGGTAGGAAAGACAATTTTTCAGTGGTAGCCCTGCTTATGACCATTGTGACTATTTTGGACTTTGGTAAATTTGCGTATCACTGAACAGAAACGGTTAGAAAAAAAAGAGGCAGTTCAATCATTTGAAAAATTATCCCTTCTAAATTTTTCATGCTTCTTGCAACAAAATTTAATTTTTAGGAAAAATGGACTTAGCAGCAACATTTCACTCTTAGCTAGCAATAGCAGTTTTCTAAAAGTACCACATTTCGCTGATTTTGAACTGATTACTGTCACCTGTGAACCACCTAGTTGTCTGATGATATTTTGCTTCTATTTATGCTTCTAAGTAGAACCCCTGTATTTAGATGAACAGAAAATATGATAGCTTCTCAATATATGAGTCGTTTATTTTGAAAGTGGCATAAGCCGAGATATTTAAGGGTTTTCGTTTTAGCACGTGTAAAAATATTGATGCTAACTTTCGAAAAGTTTTATTTTTATTTGTTATTTTGGGATATCTATATTTTTCCAGTCTAAATATTTTGGTATATTCATGGAAAAATCACCACTTTTCATTAAGTCAAATGGACTTATGCTATGTATTTTACTTACTTGATGTTTAGAAAAAAAAACTGTGAATTACCAAAAATTATGAATAAATTGAATATGTATGTATTTATATAATAGTCTCACCACCGTACTACTTTAAACGAGCAATTCTTGTATATACGTACATATGTATGTATGTATATAAATAGAATGTTTCACATCAACCGGCCGAGATCTCTGTTGAAAATTCTGAGCAACTAAAGTAAACATATTAAGTCAAAATATCTGTAAGCTAATACCCTTTCAATTGCAAATAGGCGAATATAAAACTCAAAATGGCGTCATTACTCGCTAGGTAAAATACGCAGAATAAGCAAATATATTTATTAATGTGCAAAAATTCTGTGTTATTTTAAAATTTCCTTGTATTCGCTTGAAACTTGTTACTCGATTGGCCTTGACGTCGCTGATTAAGAATCTGTAGTTCAAATGGCAGTCCAAAAATATTAAAATAGCTTAGATTCGATTAAAACTATACAGCCAAGGGTTCTTAACGTCGCTGATTACGAATCTGGAATCAGATTTAAAAAAACTCATAATTTCGGATTCATGTTGGATATATGTACCATTTATCATGGGAAAGTTAAATGGAACGTGTGTACGTACATACATGGCGTATGAGTAACATTCTCATCTCGTCTTGTTAGAACTATCTACATTTGGTAATATTGGTAATATATAAAGTTAGCGAAAAAACATCAAGCAAAAAATGTCGCATATACCCATGAATTTGCCGTTTTTTTGCCGTTATTTAGTTGTGGAAAAAATAATTTTGTCGCTCTGGTATTTTTTTAGATATAAGGTGTTTTGCTAATTCAAAAAATTAAGAAGCTTTCTTATCACAATCAAACGACAATATCAAAAACAGTTTTAATGCACAAAACAAATTCATGGGTATATGCGACATTTTTTGCTCGATGTTATTTCGCTAACTTTATACACATATCTATTGGCAAGCAAGCACAATAATGTAAGTATGTTTTTTTTTCATGGATGGTGATTTCTTTTCTACCAAAAAATGTCGCCTTTTGATTGCACCTTTATCTTTAAGTGTTCGGTTCTAAAATAAAGGCAAAGGGTGAGAAAACTTAGTAATTGTTTCTTAAAATGTGACACTCTTTTAAGGCACATTCCTACCCTTTGTAGCGTTGTGAGGGGTGATGGTTGCCCTGAAAATCATATAGTTGCTTAAACCGACGACAGGGACAAGAAGTCAAAAACATACCCCTTTAGAGTGTAACATCTGATGGCGTTTTCGTTTCTACCGAAAAATATTACCTTCTCTTTGCCCTCTATGCACAAATACTAAGAAGAGGGCAATGAGAAGACACAATTTTTTGTAGAAACGAAAACTCCACAACACACCGGCGAAGGACAACATTATATTTGGAAGAAACGAAACCACCACAAATTAAGAAAATAAAATTGTAAATTTTAGTTTCTTTTTATTTTTTAAACTTTAGAATTTTTTAATTGTGAAATAAGTTGCGTCCAATGACCGCTGTCCATATTTCAAGGTACGCCGACTTGTGGTAATGGGCAGGTTATGATAACGGAGCTTTTTTTACTTATGCAAATAAGAAAATATAAATGATAATGAAAACAAATGTTTTTTAATTAATAGATATACAAATTTTTATTTAAAGTTATAAGTTTTTTGTTACTGAAATTAATTCTAAAAGAGTTTGGCCAAATGGCCCTTGTCCGCCATTCAAGTTATGCAAATTTTGCAGCCTTCTTGTGTTAACATGCACTTAAAAGCTCTAAAATATTCTCATAATTTAGTTTTTTTTTTTAATTGCTAGCATTATTATTCAATTTAAATAACGGGCTAAGCAAACCACTGCAGTGCAAACAAATGGCGCCAAAAAGTGAGAATACAAAATTTTAGTTGTTTATGAAGTCGTTCAAAAGCTATCATTAATTAATTTTATGGCACAATCAAATCATTCATTCAGCAGGTGTCATACAATAATAAAGTCAACAAATATTCCCAGCCTGGAAAGTATGGCAATTTTGTGTAGTTAAAATGCGCATTGTAAACAAGAAAGGCAGAAGAGCAATTGTGCGCTCAGCGACGTCGACTTGTGGCAATAAAGTGAAAATCGTTTGCAAGGTTCTCTTCATATGTGCCCGAAATGTGTGATCCATACACATCTTAACCCATTCATACATGTGTATGTATGTATGTATGTACTTGTCTGTGCAAATATACATAAGTATGCTCACATAATTATACGCAACCACAGGCAGAAACTTTTCAATTTTCACTATGGAAATCAGCGTTGGGAATTGGGTTTCCTGTATATTGGATGCGCTGTGTGCTGTGGTGGTGTAAGCCACATTTGTTTGTCTTGTGGCAAGTGTTGAGTAGAAGTCGTTCACCGCCTAACTTGGTCAACGGCAACAGTGGCGGCAAGGCGGAGGCAACTTACAGCAAACATGTGAAACTTTGAATTTTATTAAAATAATAGCAACAACCAACAACAAAAAAGGCAAACATAAAACTAAAAGTCTATTGAAGCAGTTAGCTGTCTAACTGTTGCATTTTTTGTTGCAACCAACTAACATGCTGAGAAAATGAAAATAAACAATGGCAGCAACGGCTTTGGCGCTGAGGCAGCAGCAGCAGCAGAAGCAGAAGCGGTTGTTGCAAGCGATTCCTTGCACTTGACAAACAAGTTGTTGCTGGCGTTGTTGTTGGTTTATAAAATTTGAAACTTTTGTTACTGTCAGTGCTTAAGTGTCGCTCTGCTGTTGTTGTTGTTGTTGCTTGTATGCAGTTGTTGCACTGTGTCGACTTGTGCTTGTTTTGGGACATCAAATGTACATCCATCTAACTAACTGGGATTCTCTAACTAAGCTGCACGTCTGGTTTTCCAACAACTACTCGTATGTATGTATGTATGTACGTATGTTTGTTGGTACAACCAACCGGCCTGATCCCGCTTAGCCTAGCGGTTGATGTTGCACGCTGCCGCAAAGCAAGCTGCGAACGTTTGCTTGCCGCAAGTACGTTAGTAGTTCATATAAAATCTTAATCACAGGCGTGAAATTCGCATTAGGTCTTCTGATATCACGACGATGTCATTGAATTCTTGCCGCTTCCACAGTGTCAACGGCGATTTGGCAAAAATAGCAAAAACGCCTTAGAAGCGAAGTGAAGTAAGAAAGATAGTTCGCTACTAAAAGGATTCAACCAAAAGTGCTAACAAAATTGGGATAACCTTCCTTTCGGTGTGCGATTCTTGTGCCGTTTGGAATAAGTACGAAAGATATTTTTAAATTTTTGATTATTAGTTTTATCCTGGTTTCGCGTGCGGTTATTATCCTGCCAAATTGTCACACATGTAGCAGCTAAAGTACATCATTGTGGTTTATTTGAGAGTGTGTGCTAGTGTGTTCGTGGTCGTAAAGCAACTTTCAGTGAACGAAGTAGGAAATAAATATAAAAGAATACAGAAAAATTCTTCGCTAGGCGAGAACGAGTCCAGTGCTACCGGATATTGCACAAAACTTGACCGACTTAATTCAAACCAAATAAGAACGACATCGGCTCGTGGTTGTTGTAATATCTACGCAAAGATAGCTTTAAAATGAAAGCGCTTTTATCATTTGGCGTTATAACGCTTTTAACGGTGATTTCGGTACGCGCTACACCTGCCATCAGCACCAGTGAAAATACGGTAATTATACAATGTTTGTAGAAATAGCAAAAATAAATATATATGCGATGATATGAACTGTCCAGAATTTAAATTGCGGCATTTTTAATGAGTGCAGTGAAAACCCCATTTTAAATGATAGCCGCATTAAAAAATTTAAATTTTGTCCATAAGAAGAGCATAATATAGAGAAATTTTGAAAAATTTCAGACACAATTACAATTTAAAATACAAATGACGGGAAACGGTCCCGGTTTTTCTGTCTGCAGTATATCAAGAAATCAATCGGGAAAAATAATTAGCGTCATGTTTAATTTTAGCATTTTTATATGATAAAATGCTTTTTATATTTCCATGCTATGTGCTTTTCTTAGTGATTTTACTTGATTTTCATGTATTTTTTGTACAGTGAATTACCACCACTTGCGTGACACTGGAATTTTATAAATATGGTCTATTTTTAAATTAAATTCTAAAAATATTTTTGAAACGTTTTCGGTTTTGAAATTTACGTAAACTATTCGAGACCATCCAGAATTGCATAAAGTTTAATTTGTTTTCAATTATATTAATAATATTTTTATTAGCACGCTTCCAATGTTACAAAATATTTAATGTACAATATATTGTACAAATGCATGGAAAGGGTTAATACATCTATCGCAGTTCTATAGAAGAGTTCTGGCATAACAAATTTTTAACCTAACCAGTCTCTTAATTAATACACTCAAATATACACTCAATAATACACTCAAATAACAATTTTTTACTTTCTTAAAGGACACTTAAGTATCCGAAAAAAAACTATTGTAGTTTTTCGCTGGCTATGTTACATTTAACATTTGTGGTTTATCTCATTATTTTCTATCATTCAGAACTTTATCAGCTAAAATAAATGAATAAAAAATTATATTTTCATAATATTCCTTGTTTTAGTTTTTAAATTTTTTTTTTAGGTTTTTATCAATTTCCACGTTTCTGTTGAATGAAACTTCATCAAATGTCAGCATACATAAAACATGATTTTGGTCGAAAATGGTGGCACACTTACCTTAGACAGTGCATTATCTTCAGTTTTACATGAATAATAAGATTTCATTGCGAAATTGCATTTAAATGAAAACTTAAAAAAATATACTAAACCAAGTCAAAATAACAGCTCGTGCTCATATCGACGTAGTCAATGTTGGGAAAATTTTTTGTTGTAAAGACAATTAACAGTTAATTAATTGCTAATTGCTATCAGTACAATTACCAATTGGTTAATTGTAATTGAGGAGAATAACAATTGACATTTTTTTATTTTTTAATTGTCCTTACGCAATTAAATTTTAATTGCTATTAATTTAACTGTAATGCGCAATTAAAAATTTAAATTGCAATTTTTTTAACAAATTAACAAGATGATTAAAAAATTAATTGATTAGTGCCCAACACTGCCCGTAGTTGCGTATGTAACGTAAACGCCCCGTAATACCATACATAGCCATCTAACCAGTTTACACACACGCCTTCAATTAAATCATATTATTTAGAAGTAACTAAATATTGCCGTGGAATATTTTCCTACAGCATTATTAACTTCTTCATGAAAATACAGAAAAATTTTAGAATGAATTTCGAGTGTGTCTAGGGACACGAATTTAACTTATTTAATAATTTAAATTTAACTTTTTCAAACTAAAAATTTTTTAACACTCTTTCGTTCGACACCCGTATTTCATGTTGCCTATGTAATAGTAAACTAAGTTCGACTTTTCTAACAGGTGGCAACTGTCCTCAAAATATTCTCAAACTAAGACCTTCTTAAGTATATGTATTTCAATTATCTAATTGCTTTGTGTCAAGTTAAATTTTATTTTTTAAACATATTTCAAAAAAAGCGTTGTAATAAAGCTTTTTCAAACATATTTCGGTTGATAACCAGCTTTTGGTATTTGAAAGTAAGTTTTTAAACACGCGACAATCCTCTTTACACATTCCAAATATTCAAACTTAACACTTCTTATCATTCTTTCGTTTGACTCCCGTATTTTTATATCTCATATAATTTTTGCATTAGTTAATTAAACTAGACCTTTCAGAACAGGTGGCAGCTTTCTTCCGAAGTAATTTGAAACCAATCCCCCCTTCTTAACTCTCCTTCGTCTGACATTGCGATACGTATCTTAATTAACTGATGAACTCAGTTGAATTTGGTTTTTTAAACATATGACAACACCGCTATACATAGGTGTATCAGAAATAAAGATTTTTCAAGCCAACTTTGATTGATAGCCGTAGATCAATAATTCTTTTAACTTATAAAATAATTTTAATTTAACTTTTTAAACAGGTGGCGACCTTCTTTCAAACACCTCAAAAATATTCTTAGTGTTCCAACTAAAGATTTCTTAACCCTCTTTCATTTGACATCCATATTTTGAAATTTCATTTAACTTGTGTATAAGTTAACTACATAAATTAGACCTTTGAATATAGTTTCTTAAAAGGTGGCAAGCAAACATATGCGCTGGCGTGACGTCACAAAAAACAGAAGTGTGGTTTGACCTGGGTTACAAAATTACAAAACTCTGCGAATTGGGCATTTTTTTTATACATGTATTTTATGTCAAACATAGTTTTTATTTGGACCTCAACGCTACCTAGCGGTTCCATTTGTGCAAACGTATGTGTTACTGGGTTCAAATAAATATGCCAAATTTAAAACAACTCAGAGCAAAAATACGGCTTCTCAAAATATCTCGACCTTGGCGCCACCTAGTGAGAGTATTTTTTGCAAACATTTAACTTTGATATGTGACTTTTTAACCGACTTCAAAACCTCTATCATTTCGTGGAAATATCTTTATTTTTTCATATGTTGCCGCATGACTTTGGACCACGTCAACCGATTTCTATAATTATTTTTTTAGAAGAAAGGTGGAACCTCAGGGATGGTCCCATACTAATCGTGATTTATATCCGATCACTGGATTATGAAGAAATTAACGGTAATCTTAAATGTTTATATGGGAATTGAAGTCGGTTTTATTTTTTTTCTTAAAAATTACTTGCATTTTTTTTCTTTTGTGGGACCCTCCACTGGAAACGCCCATTTGTCTATACTTCGGAATTTATATGTAAAGCCATAACATGTCTTCAGTGAAGTGAATTAACACACTTAACTCTACATAAGCAAGGTTTAAAGAGTTCATTGTTTTTGATTTTGTTATCGATATTTGGAATATCGTGTAATTTTGTTTCCATATTAATGGGTACCAAATATTTTTACAGCAATACTTTAAATGAGTACCATATCAAAATACTTTCATTTCGATATCATGCCTAAGTGCCCTTGTGCCCAAGGGCGCTCGGGTATAAAAAGAAATATTTTTAAAGCAAGCTTTTTAAAAATGAATTAAAACGGTCAATAAATACGTTTTTTTTTTTAATATCTCGACTCCTGCGCCACCTATCGGATTAACTCATCTCCGGATTGGGACTTCATCGGGTTATGAGCCAACTGTGAAGCTTCAAGTCTCTAGGTCATCGGCAAGTTGCACTGTGGTCTGGAATTCATATTTTTTGGCGTAAAAGAAAAAAATTAACTGATTTTAAAAAATGGGTTAAGCAATATTAATGAAGACATTTCAGTGGTCCAAAATATGCAATAAATTAACTTGATAAGGCAACCCTTTTCTATTTATGAGTTGTCAAAAATGATGCCTCTGAAGCAACAACGAACTTGTGAACAGCTGAGTAAAAGGTTGTAAGAAACGAACTGTGAGATAATAGTTAATAAACAAAAAACGTTAAAAAATTTACAATGGAAAACAATAAGAAAGTTTCCTATTTTTGAACTGAATAAACAAAATTTGGTTTTTTGTGTAATATCTATATGGTGTGATGTTTCGTATAATAACTTTTTTATCGTAAAAATTTGGTATTTGCCTGTGTTTTGTGGAGATTTTTACGTTAGATAAAAGTTGAGAGTGTGCTCTTTAAAATCATTTGTAATTTTCAGCAACATTTGAATTCCAACACAAAAATATTTGGGGTTTGGCTAGAGGGCGATCGTAAAACTACTGAAGCATATTCACTCAAAATTAATATTTACAATGATTTTTAGGCAAAAAATGAGAATGTTATAAATGCTTGGAAAATGGGCCTAGCCACGCCCACTTATGATTACATGTATATACCTTGGTAACCGCTCCACTAATTCCTCCCAAACTTAGCGCTGTTGTTGGTCTTGCTAAAGTATACCAAATGGAGGAAAACCACGCCCACATCCCATATAACGGTAATTTGGAGAAATACGAAATCTTCGATAAATCGGTAAATACTGAAGCTTATTTATTCGAAATTGAAGTTTGCAATAATTCTTTAGCAAGAAATACGCTTAAAATTTAATTTTGGAAAATGGGCGTGGCCCTGCCCACTTATGCTCACATATATGTATCTCGGTAACGGTTGAATCAATTTGTACCAAACGCGGTACGATTATTGTGCATGCCACATAAGAGGAAAAAATTGAAAATTGTTGAAATCGGACTCAAATTACGCCCAATTTTCATATAACATTAAATTTAAATTGGAACTATATAAGTTTATCTCATTAAGTCTAACTGAATATACTAGCGACACTATATGTGCTAAGTTTTGTTAAGATCGGTCAAGTGGTTGGTGAGATATACGAATTTTCCTTGTCAGTGAGCGGGCCACGCCCCTTTTCCAAAATTTTAAATATGTCGTATTCCCCTTTATGCCTTGACCCCTTATACCAAATTTATCTTTTCTAGCTTCACTGGCAGCTGAATTATATCACTCTTCGTATTTGTATGAGTGGAGTGGGCGGCGATAACATTTAAGTGACACATCTCGTTTCTAATAACACTATGCGACAGTCAAAATCGGGATGGGATGAAACCAACGGGAAATGTTATATCGGTCAAAATCAAGTTATACGTGGCCCGGCGTTTCGCTGGGTCACGTCTAGGAATCGAGATATATCGATTTGAAGTTAGTAACTATCATATAGGGGAAATTGTCACCTTTGGTGGTCTTTTTTTTGACATAACTCGAGAACCACTAGTCCGATTTTGCTCAAAAAAATTAAAAAAAATTAAAAATTACAATTCCTTTAATCTGTTAATATAACGTTTTTATATATACTCAACAGTTTTGCCGGTAAAAATAAATGTATGAAGAAAAAAAAAATTATTTTTGCCTAAAAATTAAAATTTTTTTTTTGATTTTTCGTGTTAATAATAAATAATATATAATAAATATTATCCAAATTCATTGAAACATAAAATCAATATTCTTGTCAAAATGAGATACCTTCACTTAATTGTGAATAAAAGCGAAACGCGTCCATCGATTTTCATGATCTATGTCTCATTTTGCTTAAAGGTTATGTGACTTTGCGTGAAAGTAATACGACTTGCCTTTTTTCCGTTTTGGATTTTTTATGAATTTAAAAAATAAAAAAATTTAATATTTTAGGCAAAAAAAATTTTTTTCTTCATACATTTATTTTTGCCGGCAAAACTGTTGATTATATTGAAAAACGTTATATAAACAGATTAAAGGAATTGTAATTTTTAATTTTTTTCAATTTGTTTGAGCAAAATCGGACTAGTGGTTCTCGAGTTATGTCAAAAAAAAGACCACCAAAGGTGACAATTTCCCCTATATGATAGTTACTAACTTCAAATCGATATATCTCGATTCCTAGACGTGACCCAGCGAAACGCCGGGACACGTATAACTTCTTTTTTACCGATATAACTTTCCCCGGTAGTTTGAACCCTTCCCGATCACTGGCCCCTACCATTTGTCTCACAGTGTTATTTATGCAAAAAAAAATGATTTCCAGACCATAGTGAGTTGGTCAAAAAGTGGTTCCAAGAACCGCCCCTAAAAAACATGCTAACAGAGCAAGTTAAATAAGAGCTTGTCAAAAAGTAGCCAAAACTTTTACGCCCAAATTCATAAAAAATAAAGAAGACTTTAACTGCTTTATAAATCGAAAATTTGTATGAAAATGTCACTTTATAGAGCTCTATAAACCTATTTTATTTTTTATGAATAAGGCCATTAGTATATAATGTATCTTTTTATTCCATACTTGCAGATTCCTGTGGTAAATCGCAATCAACTGGAAGAGGGCTTTTTGCGAAAGCTTAATAGTAAATGTACTCAAAGGGACAATCATTCGTGTATGATGCTCAAATTGATTGTATACATGAATCGAATATTTAAAAAGTCTTCAATCGAGATAAATGAAAACCTTAAAGTCTCGCAAAACAGGTAAGCATTGAATTGGATTTCTTACCATTTTCGTGGGTGGTAAAATGTTATTATGCCTGCTCATGAAGATTTGTAAAAAATTGTGCAGCGGCGGCAATAAGTCACGAAACCTACAAAAAAATATTTAGTTTTGTTTACTCAAAAGAAAAAAAAAACACAAAATAATAAATCATTAATTTTCATTTACCTTATTACTTCACAGAGATATCGACTCCATACCGGATGACCCGGACGATGACTTAATGCTGGCGCGTTCAATCGAGTCCGACGATGAGACGCTTGGCCTGCTGGTGGCCGGAAAAATTTGGAAATTCATACGCTCACGTACGCTACGCTATAAATTCTCCGATAATGCAGACTTCGTACTCACCACCGAACCCAAAGGCAATTTGAATTTTGGCGTATCCGTGAGTCCGGTGGAGGCGCTCGTAGAGGGACGCGGCAAAATGAAAAATATGGGCCCAATGCTGATGATAATGATGGCTAAAGCGGGCATGGTGGGTGCCATAATGCTCAAGGGTCTCTTTCTGTTAGCGGGTAAAGCATTAATTGTCTCAAAGATTGCACTGCTGCTGTCAGTGATAATCGCATTGAAGAAGTTGCTATCGCAAAAGAAGCACATTGTCGAGATACCACATCACGATACTTACAGTTCGGGTTGGGCGCGCGCATTGGATGGCTTCATTGAGGGTATGGCTGAGGTGCCGGCGCAGATAATTGCACAGGAGGCGCAAGATATGGCTTACAATGGACAAATGCCGATGCAGCAGCTGCACTAGAGTGCAAGTACGAGCAGATAGTCAAAAGTGATGAAACATTGTCGTACAAATGTTTATACTTATTAAATGATGAAATAACTAAATGGAGAAATGTCTTCCGAAGTAATATGCATTTTTTTTACAGTCATAAAAGAGTGAACGAATAAAATTAAAAAAAAAATAATAATTTACTATTCAAGTTACTAGAAGCAGCTGCAGAAAAACTGCAATAAAATGTAAAAACTCAAAGCCAACGACGCCGACTGAGTTGGTGCAGCGATGGCTATTTGTTTCTTTTCATATACATACATATACGAAATACTTACTATGCACTGTTATTGATTCTATTGAATTAATTATTTATTGAAAACTAGATATGTATTTATAACTGTGTTTGTTGAAGTTATTTATTTTAAGTGTTGACCTTCCACTTCTTGGGTAGTCGGCGAGAATTTTTCAATACTGGGATTCATGAAACTTCACAGAGTTGTTGCTCTGTTTATTTGAAAAATTTGCCACCTCACGACACAACAGTTTCTTGCGACAAAATTGTCTGGCCATATTATTTGAGCTGACAATCAAAGTCGCGGAACATACAGTCCTCGAATAGTACTTAAAGAAAAAATATATCAGTTAAGGCTGTTTCAAAATATAATTTTAAAATTTTTTCGTTTTCACTTAAGCGCGGCATTTTGAAAAAATGTTACCTTTTCAATCCGAACTTGAGATAGGTCGTTCATACAATTTGTGCGCAAAGCTGCCATTTCTCCAAAAATACCACTTTGCAATGTTTCATGAATCGCACTAATGCGATTTTTTTCTCAAAAATGTTTGCTTCTTTCGTATAACTAACCTGATCACATATGGATTTTTCCATTAGTTGCCAATAAAAATAAAAAATAAAAAATATATAAAAACAGAAAAATATACATAAATATACGTACCGTAAATCTCAGTTAGTATAAGCAAAATAACAAAAGTAATTATTTATCGAAACGTTGTTTAATGTAATTTACTATTTATTTCATTATTTATTTTAAAATAATTTACAACGAATAAACAAAAAACAAGCAAAGCTCTTGAAGCTTTCAACATTTCTTCTTGTCTTTTTATTCTTACATAAAAGTTAAAGTTATTTTTATTATTAAATTTTTGTCGTTTAGTTTTTATTTTTTATTATTATTTGACTTTTTTTATATATTGTATTTATTTTATTGTTGTCATTATCTATATTATTACGATGCTCTATTTATAAAATTATTATTTTTTTTTGATTTTGTAGCACTTGTTGCTAAGTAGCAGAGTTTTTAATTAAAACTACACCTATACAAACTTACAAATACATAACAAATGTGTGTGTTCAAGTTCTCTTAATTAGTATTTAGCTTAAACCGTTTATCGTTAAATATTTAGAACTCTTTTTTTTTTTTTGGTATTTTTTTAATTCATTTTAATATGATTGCAATTAAATCGAAATAAATAAATAAAACGTTAAGTCTATCACCTAGAGTTTAGAATAAATTACAAATACAACTTGTAATACCATTCTAGGCAAACCATTAAAGAGAAAAAAAAATGGTTGTAAAATTTCCTAAATGGGGCGAGATTTGGCTAGCAGTGGTGTTTATATGTTGGTCATCAGGCGCGATAGTATGGATGATGTGGCTGTATGTAGTTATAGACTAGTGGTCGCCTCACTCCCACTCCAGCTGCTGCTGCAACGGAAATGCAAATGGAAAACATAAATCTTAATTATAATATTAATTTTAATTATCATTTTCCTGCATAATTGGTGTTGTAAATAGACATCATAAATAAATAAATAAATAGTCTTTATAGATCCTTCTTTTTCATATTACCAAAATTTTTTTTTGCAGATATGCGCCCTTATGGCCTCAAATAAGAATCGAATACGAATTAAAAAAAAATTGTATTTGTACCCATTTGTATTTGCGCAAACATTTGTGTGTTGTATTTTGCGCATTACAGGACAATTCTGGCAAATGTCTCTTAACTCACTACAATTGTCAATTCTGGAAACTACCTTGACAGCTCTTGACTGTCTTTCGAATTGAAAGATCCGCTAACGAGTAGGTCTTAGCGTTATGGCGTGCAGGATTTAGCAATAAGCTTTTTAAACATTAAACTATATTAAAACAACATATATATATATATATTTTTCTTTTTAAAACATTTAAAAGTAATAAATAAAAGAAGATAAAAATAAAAAGTAATGAAATTAAGACAAAAAATATGTATTTTTAAAAATCAAATGAAATTAAAATAATTGTTTTTCTTAAAACAATAAAATCTAAAAATTATATTAGAAAAGGGAAACAAAATTCAAAACATAAGACAAACATAAAATATATTTTTAAAAATCAAATGAAATTAAAATAATTGTTTTTCTTAAAACAATAAAATCTAAAAATTATATTAGAAAAGGGAAACAAAATTCAAAACATAAGACAAACATAAAATATATTTTTAAAAATCAAATGAAATTAAAATAATTGTTTTTCTTAAAACAATAAAATTTAAAAATTATATTAGAAAAAGTAAAAAAAAATCAAAACATAAAGTACATTCTTAAAAATTTAATATGTAATAAAAAAATATTTTTTAAACAAAATCTAAAAATTAAAAGAAAATTAAAGTTAAAAAAGTCAAAAAAAATATAAGATCCTAAAGAGAGAAAAAGGAGGCAAAATTCCGCTTCCCAAGACTCGAACTCGGATTTCGAATGGCACACCTACGATTTGCTGCCTTGGCCATTGCGTCAGTTGGAGCGACGCGAGCCAAGTAATATATAAGTTCTACAGATATAGATCTGTGTCGTTCCATTTACGTAGTCCCAACTGTCGTGCAAACGCGACATGAGACTTATATTTTGCTTACGAGGAAGCCTCTAACCTCTTTTTTTGCATGCGTTTAAAGAACTAGCGAAAGAGCAGCTGCTAACTATTATAGAACTAAATGTTAAAAGCAATTTTTAAACTATAAAATCCATTGACGACAAAATGGACTTGTTTTGTGGAGATTGTTTTTACTAATAACAAATTTACCCAGCTTGTTAAGAAAAGCCACGGTTTTATTCAAACAACTACTTCTAAAGATTTTTCATTTTATTAAGGCCCGTTAAATAAAATGATTTATTTAAGAATTTATGGAAAACACCACAATCAGTCACACCAACATTACAACCAACAGCCGGATTCCAATATTACTTATTGCTAATTGTGATCGCAAAAAAACCTCTAAAAGAGTAGCAGGCGCGGCAACAGCGTGCAACATCTAATAACATGCCCCCATATACTGTCAGATTTAGCTCATTATATATTGATTCTGAAAATTTTCATGTAGTGTACTTGTAGACAACACCACTTTTCCTTTAGAGAAATTTGGTGTCTGAAATTAAGCGTTCCGATAGTCAGAATTCCAATAGGCAGATTACACAACGCGGCCTCTTGAGCTTGAGAACAAGTTCTCCACTTGTTCCCAAAAAAGATACTCCACTTTGGCTTTTCGAATATTCTCCCGATCTGGCTTTAGTAACCATATAAGTACTCCGATAGCCAGTGGATTGCAGTGAAACCATATAGAACATTGCGATTGAATGTGGCAAAGTCCTCAACGCACATTGTGTGCGTACCAGTTGAAAGATGCACACAAGGTAAGTGAAGATCAGATGAGGTTGCCAGGAAGGGAACCACCCTGCTGACGTCAACTCTTCTCACGATGCAAGCATACAGCTATCTAGCTCTAAAACATGGCTTAAAACACACTTCGTCGAGGAGGTAAATGAAAGTTGGTCGGAAGAACTCACGTGTGGGACGACTCGACAAATCTGGTCAAGCTTCGACAAGAAAATATCCGTCGCACGCATTTCATTAGAATACCCTCAAAGACTGCTCAAAATACCTTGAGGTGACCTTAGGCAGCAGACTGCAATAGTAATGCATTGGCTTTTGTGCTGATGCATTGTGACAGCAGTGGTAAAACCAAATTTTAATTATTTTTATTAATAAAATAATAATTATCATTTCACAAGTTTTTTCAGTTTGCCACTGAAAAATTGGTATTTTTTTGCCATTAAAAAATTTTTATATAAAAACCAAGCCGACAGACTCGCCAAAAAAGGCGCTCTTTCGGACAGAAGATTTTCCAATTACCCCACAAGGTGCGACAGGCACAGAAGTTGCGGACAAAAACACATACATAGCTGGAAGATGTCCAGGATTATATGTAGAATATACGTTAGAAAGCTCATAGAGCTTCTCTTATCTTATAAGAAGGACGACGCGTCGCTGGGCCACTGGTTTGTGTACTAACAGGAACCTGGTAAATTTAAATTTGCCCTGGACAATGATTTAAAAACAGAAGATGCAGAAAGCATAAGGAGACATTGGATCGCATACCTGTGGGTGTCCTGAACTTAACACAATATGGATTAGTTTTCCGAAAGCAGCCTTTCTCCCGAAAGTAAAGGAAGACACCAAAATAAGGTATAATAAATCGTTGCGTTTAGCAAAGACCACTGCGGTATGTTTCAATATTCCTCCTGGTTTCTATCCGTGCAATTTTCTCGTGATTTTTTTGGCAACGCTATGGACCTTAATGGTCTCTTCGGAGTCATGCAGGGGCTAACCCAGCCCAACCTAATTTAGGGCCAGTCTCTCTATGTCTGGTTAACACTAACTGCAGATCAAACATCGTTATCGACTCCTTGTTATATGCTACGGAATCGATCACGTCGGCAACGATGTTTAACCTGCAGTTAGTGTTAACCAGACATTGAGAAACTGGCCCTTATCCCAGTAGTTATATATACACTTTTCAAATTATCAAGATGAAACATAATATGAATTAGCTGTATCTACATATGTATGTGTTTAACTAGCGATGTTTATATTTAAAGAGCAATTATACAATAACGAGCATTCATCGTCTTTACCAATCGTCTTAACCACACTGCTTTGCATGCAAGCGTTTTTTTTTTATAATAAGTTCATGTGCTTAGTTAGTTAGAACTATAGATGCCGCTGTCGTTTTTTCCGCCGCAATTGCATGCCCAAAAACTCGAATGTATCCTTTATACTCTCCTCGTGATTGAATATATCATCATCACCCAATTCTGCTTCCTCTTGCTCCTCCTCCTCAGTTGCCGCCGCTGCTGCAGCCAAAGCGACCTTAATGGCCACCTCCTCTTCACTACGACGACGCCAACTTTTGTCCAGCATAAAATATTCAAAATATGGATTCCTGTGAAATTTTCGCTTAAATGGACTATTAACGTAGCGTAATGGCTTTCTGCCGCCAACTGGTATCGCAATTTTGCGAATATTTTGAAATTCGAAAAGGCAAAACAATTCAAAAATATACACAAGTAGTCAAGGATAGTCCCTTAACGATTATCGTGCTGAATAACTAAACTCACCCTTTCCCAACCAAGAGTCCTCCCGTTTCACTTTCGGTCCCAAATGTACGGCATTGAGCGCGGCTAATACCTGTGTGTTATTTTGTATATCGGCGATGTTATGATGCAAATTACTCTCCGCGGCGAGACTTTCGCCGTGGTGTTGCATAGGCGCCGCGGCCAGTTGCAGCGCAGCCGGATACATTTCGCCTCCAGATGCCATTTCGGGATGGATGCCATAATCCATGCTGTATGGCATCATGTAGGGCGTATGCTCGGGGAATTGATACATCATTCTGCAAAAGAGGGTAGAAAGAGAAAAGGAAAAAAATAAGAGATTTGTAGTATGGATATTAACATTAACATTTACATTAACATTAACATTAACATTAACATTAACATTAAC